CATCAGCTCCATCTCTAGAGGTCCTATCAACATCATAATCAGCTCCATCTCTACACCAGAGGTCCCATCAACATCATCATCATCAGTTCCATCTCTACACTAGAGGTCCCATCAACATCATCATCAGCTCCATCTCTGCACTAGTGGACCCATCAACATCATCATCATCAGCTCCAACTCTACACTGGAGGGCCCATTAACATCAACATCATCATCAGCTCCATCTCTACACTAGACATCCCATCATCATCATCAGTTCCATCTCTACACGAGAGGTCCCATCAACATCATCATCATCAGCTCCATCTCTATACTAGAGGTCTCATCATCATCATCAGCTCTATCTCTGCACTAGAGGTCCCATCATCATCATCATCAGCTCCATCTCTACACTAGAGGTTCCATCATCATCATCATCAGCTCCATCTCTCCACTAGAGGTCCCATCATCATCATCAGCTCCATCTCTGCACTAGAGGTCCCATCAACATCATGATCAGCTCCATCTCTACACTACAGGTCGCATCATCATCATCAGCTCCATCTCTGCACTAGAGGTCCCATCAACATCATCATCATCATCATCAGCTCCATCTCTGCACTAGAGGTTCCATCAACATCATCATCATCATCAGCTCCATCTCTGCACTCGAGGTCCCATCATCATCATCAGCTCCATCTCTGCACTAGAGGTCCCATCAACATCATCATCATCATCATCAGCTCCATCTCTGCACTCGAGGTCCCGTCAACATCATCATCATCAGCTCCATCTCTGCACTAGAGGTCCCATCAACATCATCATCATCAACTCTATCTCTAGAGGTCCCATCAACATCATGATCAGCTCCATCTCTACACCAGAGGTCCCATTAACATCATCATCATCAGCTCCATCTCTAGAGGTCCCATCAACATCATGATCAGCTCCATCTCTACACCAGCGGTCCCATCATCGTCATCACCGGCCGCATTCCTCTCGCAGGTTTTTTCGTCTTTCCCTCTCGTGAGCTTGCAGCAAATTCGACCAACACCTCAAAATCACAATCATGCACACAGACACACACACAGACACACACACACACAGAGACACACACAGACACACAGACACACAGACACACACACAAAGATACACGCACACTCAGACACAGACACACACAGACACACAGACACACACACAGACACACACACAGAAACACACAGACACACACTCACAGACACACACACAGACATAGCCACACAGACAAAGACACAGACACACACAAACACACAGACACACACACAGACACACAGACACACACACAGACACACACAAAAACACAGACACACACACGGACATAGACACACAGACAAAGACACACACACAGAAACACAAACACACAGACACACACACACACAGACACACAGACAAATACACACACAGACACCCACAGAGACACACACACACAAACACACACACCGAGACACACACAGACACACACAGACACACAGACACACACACAGACACACAGACAAAGACACACACACAGACACACACACAGACAAAGACACACACACACACAGACACACAGACAAAGACAGACACACAGACACACACAGACAGACACAAAGACAAAGATCCCCCATATAGCCTTAACAGACTCTAGGGGCAAGTGCTCTTAACGAGCACCTAGAAAGGTCGGGGGTGGGTGGCTAACACCACGCCCGGCCGCCTTTGTCTCCCTAGTGGCGATGTTTTTACACATCGCCACTGGCTACTCATTTGAGGCTGAGTCGACCTACACAGACACACACGCAGCGCTTGCAAACACATTTACTCTGTCAATTTTAAAAACCGAATGTTGTGTGTGTGGTGTGTGTGTTGTGTGTGTGTCTGTGTGTGTCTGTGTGTGTCTATGTGTGGTGTGTGTGTCTGTGTGTGTGTGGTGTGTGTGGTGTGTGTGTGGTGTGTGGTGCGTGTTGTGTGTGGTGCGTGTCTGTGTGGTGTGTGGTGTGTGTGTGGTGTGTGGTATGTGTGTGTCTGTGTCTCTGTGTGTCTCTGTGTGGTGTGTGTGTCTGTGTGTGTGTGTGTCTGTGTGTCTCTGTGTGTGTGTGTCTGTGTGTGTGTCTGTGTGTGTGTCTGTGTGTGTGTGTCTGTGTGTCTCTGTGTGTGTGTGTGTCTCTGTGTGTGTGTGTGTCTCTGTGTGTGTGTCTGTGTGTGTATCTGTGTGGTGTGTGTGTCTGTGTGTGTGTCTCTGTGTGTCTCTGTGTCTCTGTGTATCTCTGTGTCTCTGTGTGTCTCTGTGTGTGTCTGTGTGTGTGTCTCTGTGTGTCTGTGTGTCTCTGTGTGTGTATGTCTGTGTGTTTCTCTGTGTGGTGTGTGTGTCTGTGTGTGTGTCTGTGTGTGTCTGTGTGTGTGTCTGTGTGTGTGTCTGTGTGTCTGTGTGTGTGTCTGTCTCTGTGTGTGTGTCTGTGTACTCGTTTCAAGCGCGTGTAGTCGCTCCCGCTGTAGACTCTCTCACCTTCTCCGCTCGCAGGGACGTGGCGACTCGACACGCTGAACGGCGAGCGCGTTCATGCATTATTCATGCGTGAATTATATAAACCTCGTTGTTGTCCTGTGCTGGTTGCTGTTGTTGTTGTTTTTCCATCGATATCATCAATTAACAACCGCCCCGACCAATTATGTCACCACCACCACCACCATCATCAACATCATCATCATCAACATCATCATCCCGTAGCCGTACATCACCAAAGCATGCATCTCAACATCGCCACCATCACCACCGTTAGCATCGCAACATCACCACCACCGTCATCATCATCATCATCGTCGCATGCAATCCAACATCATCATCATCACCACCAACACCCCCATCACATCACCACCACCACCCCCATCACATCACCATCACCACCACCATCACCACCATCGCCGTGACGCTCACCATTGGTAATCCACCGTAGCCACTGCATCCATGGCACGCAGTAACACAATGATTAAATCGACTGTTATTAAACAACGAACTGCTAATCATCGGCATAATAATAATGATAATCATATAATGTGTGCGTATATCTAGAGTGAAAATAAAAAAACGACAGGAATTAACCTATACGGGAGAGCGGACGAGATATTCCGCAGCCATTTGGAATATTTCAGAATATTCTCTGTGTGTGTGTGACTCTGTGTGTGTGTCTGTGTGTGTGTCACTGTGTGTGTGACTCTGTGTGTGTGTCTCTGTGTGTGTGACTCTGTGTGTGTGTCTCTGTGTGTGTGACTCTGTGTGTGTGTGTCTCTGTGTGTGTGACTCTGTGTGTGTGTCTCTGTGTGTGTGACTCTGTGTGTGTGACTCTGTGTGTGTCTCTGTGTGTGTCTGTGTGTGTGTGTCTCTGTGTGTGTGACTCTGTGTATGTGTCTGTGTCTGTGTGTGTCTGTGTGTGTGTTACTCTGTGTGTGTGTCTGTGTGTGTGACTCTGTGTGTGTGACTGTGTGTGTGTCTCTGTGTGTGTGACTCTGTGTGTGTGTCTTTGTGTGTGTGTCTGTGTGTGTGTGTCTGTGTGTGTGTGTCTGTGTGTGTGTGTCTCTGTGTGTGTCTCTGTGTGTGTGACTCTGTGTGTGTGACTCTGTGTGTGTGTGTCTGTGTGTGTCTCTGTGTGTGTCTGTGTGTGTCTCTGTGTGTGTCTCTGTGTGTGTGTGTCTCTGTCTGTGTGTGTTTGTCTGTGTGTGTGTCTCTGTGTGTGTGTGTCTCTGTGTGTGTCTCTCTCTCTGTGTATGTCTGTGTGTGTCTCTCTCTCTGTGTGTGTCTGTGTGTGTGTCTCTGTGTGTGTGTCTCTGTGTGTCTCTCTGTGTGTGTCTCTCTGTCTGTGTGTGTGTGTTTCTCTCTCTATCGCTCTCTGTGTGTGTCTCTGTGTGTGTGTCTCTGTGTGTGTGTCTCTGTGTGTGTCTCTCTGTGTGTGTGTCTCTGTGTGTGTCTCTCTGTCTGTGTGTGTGTCTCTCTCTGTCTCCCTCTGTGTGTGTGTCTCTGTGTGTGTGTCTGTGTGTGTGTGTCTCTGTGTGTGTGTCTGTCTGTGTGTGTGTCTCTGTGTGTGTCTCTGTGTGTGTGTCTCTGTGTGTGTGTGTCTCTGTGTGTGTGTCTCTCTGTGTGTGTCTCTCTGTGTGTGTCTCTCTGTCTGTGTGTGTCTCTCTCTGTCTCTCTCTGTGTGTGTCTCTCTGTGTGTGTGTCTCTGTGTGTGTGTCTCTCTGTGTGTGTCTCTCTGTGTGTGTCTCTCTGTCTGTGTGTGTGTCTCTCTCTGTCGCTCTCTGTGTGTGTCTCTGTGTGTGTGTCTGTGTGTGTGTCTCTCTCCCTCTGTTAGAGGAATGGGGGGGGGGGTAGAGGAGGAGGGGGGGCGAGGGGGATCGGGGGATGGAGCGAGGGGGTGGCTTGCAGAAGGGAATGCGGTGTGAGAGATAAATAAATAAATAATTACGTGGCGGCTAAGACGAAATTAATTCTGTGGTGATGGGCGAGGTGGCACCCCGACACAATTTACCCCCTCCCCTAACACCCTCACTCCCCCCTCCCCTCACTCCCCCCTCACTCCCCCCTCCCCCCACTCCCCCCTCCCCCCGCCCCTCACTCCCCCCTCCCCTACCTCCCCCCTCTGACCCCTCCCCTCTCTCCCTCATCTCCCTCCTTTCCCTCTCTCACCCCCCTTCTCTCTCCCTTGCTAACACTCTCTACTCTCTCTCTCTCAGCCCCCCCCTCACTCCCCACTCACTCCCCCCCACACTCCCCGCTCCCCCCCTCACTCCCCCCGCTCCCCCCCTCACACCCCCCCTCACTCCCCCCCTCACTCCCCCCCCCTCACTCCCCCGCTCCCTCCCCCCGTCCCTCCCCCCTCACTCCCCCCGCTCCCCCCCTCACTCCCCCCCGCTCCCCCCCCACTCCCCCCCCTCACTCCCCCGCTCCCTCCCCCCTCACTCCCCCCGCTCCCTCCCCCCCCTCCTCTCTCACCCCCCCTCACTCCCCCCGCTTCCCCCCCGCTCCCCCCCGCATCCCCCCCGCTCCCCCCACTCCCCCCCCCCGCTCCCACCCCGCTCCCCCCCCGCTCCCCCCCCCGCTCCCCCCCCGCGCCCCCCACTCCCCCCCCCGCTCCCCCCCCCCCCGCGCCCCCCGCTCGCTGTATTCCTGCCACGGCGTCTCAGTAGCAGTGCAGGGTTGGTAACCACGGCCTAGGAGACCGCTCCATTGGAAAAGCCGTAACAGCCATCTCGTTAACATCATCAACATCAACATCATCAACATCATCAACATCATAGTCATCATCATCACCATCATCATAGTCATCATCATCAACATAGTCATCACCATCATAGTCATCACCATCATCATAGTCATCATCATCATCAACATCATCACCATCATAGTCATCATCATCATCAGCAACATCAACACCATCATCATATTCATCATCACCATCGTCATCATCACCATCATTATAGTCATCATCATCATTGTCATCATCATCATCATAGTCATCATCATCATCATAGTCATCATCACCATCATCATAGTCATCATCATCATCATAGTCATCACCATCATCATAGTCATCATCACCATCATCATAGTCATCATCACCATCATCATTGTCATCATCACCATCATCATAGTCATCATCATCATCATAGTCATCGCCATCATCATAGTCATCACCATCATCATAGTCATCATCACCATCATCATTGTCATCATCACCATCATCATAGTCATCATCATCATCATAGTCATCACCATCATCATAGTCATCATCATCATCATAGTCATCATCATTGTCATCATCATAGTCACCATCATCAACATAGTCATCATGATCATAGTAGTCATCATCATCATCATAGTCATCATCATAGTCATCATCATCACCACCATAGTCATCATCATCATCATAGTCATCATCATCATCATCACTATCATAGTAGTCATCATCATCATAGTCAGCACCATCATCAAAGTCATCATCATCATAGTTAACATCATCATCATCATAGTCATCATCATAGTCATCATCATCATAGTCATCATCATGAATGTCATCATCACCCTCATAGACATCATCATCATAGTTAACATCATCATCATCATAGTCATCATCATAGTCATCATCATCATAGTCATCATCATGAATGTCATCATCACCCTCATAGACATCATCATCATAGTCATCATCACCATCATCATAGTCATCATCATCATTGTCATCATCATCATCATAGTCATCATCATCACCATCATAGTCGTCATCATCATAGTCATCATCACCATCATCATAGTCATCATCACCATCATCATAGTCACCATCATCATTATAGTCATCATCACCATCATATTCATCATCATAATGATCATCATCATAGTCATCATCATCATCATAGTCATCATCATCTTAGTCATCATCATCATAGTCATCATCATCACCATAGTCATCATCATCATCATAGCCATCATCATATCATCATCATCATAGTCATCATCATCATAGTCATCATCAACATCATCGTCATCACCAACATAATAGTCACCTTCTTTGGTTCTTTCGGTAAAGTCACGTAGAATGAGAATAAAATAATAAATTGATAAAATAAAATAACACAATAATATTCTCACGACGTTTCGGCCACAACACAAGCGGCCTTCATCAGGTGAAGGGACGAGACTGTCTGGTAGGACAGCGCTGTCCTACCAGAGAGTCTCGTCCCTTCACCTGATGAAGGCCGCTTGTGTTGTGGCCGAAACGTCGTGAGAATATTATTGTGTTATTTTATTTTATCAATGTATTATTTTATTATCATTCTACGTGACTTTACCGAAAGAACCAAAGAAGATGAATCATTGCAGTCACGAAAGCTTTAAATCGAAAAATAATAGTCACCATCATCATCATAGTCATCATCAACATCATAGTCATCATCATCGTCATCATCATAGTCATCATCATCATCATAGTCATCATCATCATAGTCATCATAGTCATCATCAACATCATAGTCATCATCATAATCATCATCGTCATAGTCAACATCATATCATCATGATCATAGTCATCTTCATCACCATCATCATCATAGTCATTTTCATCATAGTCATCATCATCATCATCAAAGTCATCATCATCATAGTCATCATCATCATAGTCATCATCACCATCATAGTCGTCATCTTCATCATCATAGTCATCATCATTATCATAGTCATCACCATCATCATCATAGTCATCATCACCATCAAAGTCATCATTATATTCAACATCACCATCATCATCATAGTCATCATCACCATCATCATAGTACCCATCATCATTATAGTCATCATCAACATCATAGTCATCCTCACAATCATCATCGTCATAGTCATCATCATCATCATAGTCATCATCATCATAGTCATCATCATCATTTTCATCATCATCACCATAGTCATCATCATCATCAAAGTCATCATCATCGTCATCACCATCATCATAGTCACCATCATCATCATAGTCATTATCATAGTCATCATCACCATCATCATATTTATCATCATCATCATCATCATAGTCATCATCAGCATAGTCATCATCACCATCATCATCACCATCATCATAGTCATCATCACCATCATAGTCATCTGCATCATCACAGTCGTCATCCTCAGAGTCAGCGCGATCATCATAGTCATCATCACCATCATAGTCATCATCATCATAGTCATCATCGACATCATCATCAACATCATCACCATCATAGTCATCACCATCATCATGGTCATCATCATCATAGTCATCATCGTCATCATAGTCATCATCAACATCATCATAGTTATCATCATCATAGTCATCATCATAGTCATCATCATCATCATAGTCATCATCATCAACATCATCACCATCATAGTCATCACCATCATCATAGTCATCATCATCATCATAGTCATCATCGACGTCATCAACATCATCATCTCCATCATAGTCATCACCATCATCATTACCATCATAGTCATCATCATCAACATCATCATCATCAACATCATCACCATCATCATCATAGTTATCATCATCATCATCATAGCCATCATCATCATCATAGTCATCATCACCATCATTGTCATCACCATCATAGTCATCACCATCATCATCACCATCATAGTCATTATCATCATCATCAACATCATAGTCATCAACATCATCATAGTCATCATCATAAACATCATCGTCATTATCAACATCATCACCATCAAAGTCATCACCATCATCATAG